GGCCAAATCTGGCCCCCGGTAGGGTGCTAGATGGCCCCCCAACCATTTTCTAATTCACAATGAAGATAAACTGAATCACTGAGATTTTTTTACCACTTTAAGTACTTAAAAAGCAACAAAATTGAGCTTGTTGATAAAAGAAATGCCCCACGAACACCCAAAAAGAGGTCCAGGCTAAGCCCTGATTTTTCTCAAATCATAGAAACACCCTTGGGGGCAGTGACCTGTGCAGGGCTGCTGCAAGTGGCCCCTGGCCTCCTTTCATTTTGTAAAAGTGGGCCCCAGGCAAAGCAAGTTGAGTATCTCTGATTTAGAATCAAAGAATCTGCAGAAGATGTTTAATTCATGTATTTCTAACATAGCACGGCTACAAATGAGGTCAAAGGTCAGAGCTACAGTATGGCACAGGGCCTAAAGACAATGGACACTTCAGCTGGCAGATGCTTGCCAACATTAGCTCAGGTCTTGCAGACAAAAGACAATATAAAAAGTGCTGCTGTGGTGCGTTCAGGCACTACTGATGTAGGACCAAGTAAACTCATGCATTAATAATCCCCCCAATGATCCTTGGATGTCCCAGCAACTCTTTTCCTCCTTTTAAAGCCTGACAAGACGAGGGTTATGTCCGTCTCCGATAAATAATATTATCTGCTCAGGGTATTATTTTCATCCGCTAAGAAGTCGGTCTTACTTTGCCAGTTTGTAGGAGGTCTCTGTGCCAAGCGACTGTCATCGTCAACATGAAGAAGCACAGTGCCTTTGGAGAAAGGAAACACAAAGCTTTTGTTAAGAAGACATGAAAAGTGTCGAAGGCTAAACAGAAATTTTAGTTTTACAATGCCAGTGTCTCTTAAAGTTTCTTTACGCTTCTGCATATACTCGAAGCAACGTGTACGCAGTTGCTTTGTGCCTATCATAGTTCTGCGTTCTGTTGGTCTACATCGCTATGCAATTCCCTGCCAAAGCACTTGGGGGCGTGGTGTTCTTTAATATACCTACTTAGACTCTGTAATGTCTATGGTCGTTGCTCATTCATTGTTTGTCTTCTGGCTTTGCTCTAGTCACAGTGAAGATGGCGACTGAGAGAGAAAGACTGTTGCTGGAGCTCGAAATGATCGATACTGAACAACAAATGCTCTTATTACAAATGTTATGATGACGACGAAGAGAGAAGCGACTGCGCCGATGGTCTGTATGCCCACTGAATGGCTCGAGGCGGTGTTGTGGTACTGCAGCAGGAAGTGAAACCTTGAGAAATGCTGGAAATTATGGAGTTTGAAGGACCAATCATAGCTCTTGTGGTCTGTGTTGGGTCGGCGTTGCCTCCACGTGTGGTTACAGTTTTTTTGGGAGATGCACGTCACGTCTCTGCATCAGATGGGCAGAAGCATAAACCTTGCTTTACTTTGTATCCAATCCATACATGTTATTTTGTCAGCCACTGGAGGAGTATCACGTCAAGTTAATTTAAGTGCTAATGGAAGACAGTAGCACAGCTATCCAGGATTAGGCTACAGCTAAGATAATACCCAGAGCCGGCCCTTAAGCAAAAGACCATTTCACAATGTTTGCTTACAATAATTTTCGGGAAGAAAACCCCCACATCAGGTACATAAAATGAAACATGAAAATTTTGTGCCATTTTTGCCAATAGCGAGAAAACACTAAGATCAGAGACAAGCGAAATGGACGATTCAAGTAGGCCAAGCAAGTCATTATCTCTCCGATTGCTTGCTAGCCTGTTGCAATAGATGGCTTCCATTTAGGGATGCAGGGTATTGGATTTTTTGCAGATATCCAATATGCTGATATATTACAACTTATTTAGCTGATGACCAATACCGATACCGTTAAATCCACTTTTTCCCCCACCTAATTTTGTGGTACCTGTACTGACATCCAATGGAAGCAGTGGTCAGACATGTGCTGAGAAACGAGCTGGAACACTTTTGTTTCTCACTGCTCCATCCAGTTCCCGGGCTCTGGACGGGCATAACATGCTGACGACAGCGCTGCGCCATCGGAGTTAAAAAGTAAACAGCCAAGATTGCAGCTGCCGAAGTACCGCGTCCATTCAATTTAGCTTTGGAAGAAACGCTAAGCCAACTACACCTATCTTTTTCCTTCAGAGAGGAACAGAAGACTGCCCTAGAAGCCTTTGTTTCCAGGAAGGACGTTTTTGACGTTTGCCGACGGGATACGGTAAAAGCATAATATATCAGTTAGCCCCACTGTTCGGCAAACAAATGGGGGTTATTGCAATGAATACGTTACCTTGATTTTTGCTTTGATTGGCTATCGTGCTATCCAATTGCGTGTGGCGGCATTCAATATGCCTGAGTTAGTGCTGCCCCTTGGGTAGGAAGGGTGTATCGGGTTAGGGTTAGGGTTAAAAAAAACCAAGTTTGCTAGGGTCATAAAAAAATACTGTATTGACTGTAGTAGTCTAGTTTTATTTTATTCCTTACAATGTGAGGGAGGGGGGCAAACCACATCTTGCTCCTGGCCCCCAAAAGTCTAGGGCCGGCCCTGATAATACCTTTGCAGGACGGTGATATCACAGCCAAATAGAGACCTACAATGCACACAACTCTAACACACAAACACATTGTAACCAGCAGCACTATGAGGACATTACAGATAGTCTCTAGGGGGAGAGATCTGTGTATGGAGGGATAACAGAGCAGGGTTATCTTTGTAAATGCAAATGATCAGGATGGCGTCTTTTCTGCTACCAGTCATTTTTTTGTCCTCAACACAACCTTAAAACATTATAGTGCATAGAATGCACCGCAGGCATTACCACATAGTAGCCTACATTCATAAATCTGATGGAGGGGACTGCTGCAGATGTGAGGACAGACACACAGCACCAGCATGGTGCTATTTGGGTTATTTATAGGCACACGGATGATTTGGATCAAAAATAACTGCAAGCAAATCCAATCCTTTAATCAGAGAAACAGCCCATATAGATGAATCACACAGGCCTCTAACATTGCATAGAGAAGCGGTGAGATGTACCTACCATATGCACAGCGTTTGCAAAAATAAACGGCCTCTTCAGGCTCGTTTTATCCGCCACCACGACCACTGCGCTCCGCTGCATGCTGCTGCGTCTCTCCCTGCCTCCACAACCAGCTTTTACATGCAGAAAATATCACAGCTGTGGACCTTTGGCAATAACTGTAAGGGCATCTACAGCGTCTATCTATGCGCACAGGACGTCACGGTGATGTGCTGGGTGAGGGGTCTGCGCCGCTTTCAAGTGCAATCGGAAATATGGGAATCGAGGCGGATTAGTGCACAGGGGTGAGGTTCAGCCGGGATTCATTCATGAGTGAGAGGTGAAATGCAACCTCAGAAAAATCAGTTACTTGTATTTGGATATCTAGAATTATTTTTATACTGTTAAGTAATGGATTACACTGTTTCAAATGACGTTTCATGTCCAATTTAAACATGTTATTCTGCACATCATCATGTTTCCTTTGTCCTTATGTGTATATATTTGGTTTTGTACCCAGTGGTGCCCTCAAAAGGGGGACATGGCCCCCCTGAAACACCTGCCCCCCCTGGTGAAAAATAATTGGACGCCAATACTGTCTTTAAGAGGCTGTAGTGTGCTATGTTATGTAAGCGAAACCAGACGGCCCAAGGCATTTATTGGTACCAACCCTGTCGTAAGTGCTTGATGTGAAGGGGGCTAAAGAACGCTCTAAAGTGACATAGCCATTTTCAAATGGTCCCTTGAACTCTCACCTCAAGATATCTGAATGAAAATGGGTCCCATGGAGAACCACAACATATACACTGCTATAAACCATTGCAAAAAAATGTTGTTATGATCGGCTACAACAAGATGTAAAAACAATACTATACAATAGTACTTCATGTGGAGTTATCAAGAAAGTGGGGGTTTAGAGTCTAGCTTTTATATATTCCAGAGAAGGATTCCAGATTTAATTTATCCGAGGAGCAATTCATTGTGAATCTTAGTTTCTCAAGTTTGAGGTGTCGCATCACTTCCCTCAACCACTGAGTCCAGCTCAGAGGATAGGGGTTCTTCCAGTACCTCCGTGCTAATGAAGAAACAAATTTCATTACTCTGAGTTTAGACACCTGGGAACATTGTCAAGAGTTTGACTTTTGAGAAATGGAGGCGATGCAGCACCCTAAATTGAACGAGGCCATGCCGGGCCCAGAATAGGGCCATGTGGACCCCCTCAAGGGCTTTTACCCACTGCTCCACTTGCAAAGCCACCCCCAACTCCATCTCCTATATAGATCTAAAATATTTAAGTAATGGTTTTAATGTAACTATGAAGTTGGAGGAATTTAAAGAAATGAGACTGCGGTAAATTAGATTTAGTTCACCGTTGTTCGAAGGAAGGAAATATTTCATCTGTAAAAAGGGCCTTCATATTTCCAATTCCATTTCTTTTCCAAATATCAAAAGACTCGTCCATCATGGATGGGAAGAACAGGTGGCTGGGAGAGACTGAGGCAAGATGGTTATTTTTCTTTTTAAGGAAAGGACAAGTCGTTTGAAGAACAATGAAGTTCTTAATATGTACAGATGAATAACTCATTAGAACAGGATTGTTGTGGGACTCAAAATGTTAGTGTAACAGGATCAGTCTATGCACTTCAGACAATTAGGAAATATGTGTTGTAAAATCAGAAACCTTGGAGATCAGTTCATCCCTTTACTTCACTACTCACAGTAAACAAAATTTTAACCAGGGGTGGCCAAACCTTTGCAACCTAACTTGAATTGTTCAGATTGTCAGAACTTTAAATTCTAGTTGGGACATTAAAGCGTCAGTACATCCCAAAATGTATTTGCACTCTTTAATGTGGCTGATGCTGCTGTACTGGCAAAATGACTGCATTTCCCAGCATCCCACAGCCTCAGTGGGGCTGGGCTACTCTCCTATAACAGGTAGGGCGGGTTCCTATTGTTTCCACAGGTGCTATGAAAAACTGAGAGACTCAGGAGGCTGTTAGTCAGTAGGAACAGGAAAAACGGATGACAGGAGGACACAGAGATAAAGAGAGGCAGAGGAGCCAGAGGAGGAAAAGAACTGACACGTGTGTGAAAGAACAGCAGGTGGATTGGACAGGAACCTGGATTACACACAGGGATCTTTTTAAATTCTGTTTTATTTGAAGGAAGTTACTTTTTTCTTTGCTGCTGACCAGGACCTGTGCAGGAGGACAAAAAGGATGGGATGTGTGGTCATGCTTTTTTTTTCTTACTGTGGGCCACAAACTGGGTCAACACCTGAGAAGGAGCTGAAAGGAGCAGCAGAGACTGAGGCCGTTTTGTCCTTCTGAAAGAGGACAGACTGAACTGACAGAGGGGAAGCTGAATTACAAAGAATAATCCCTTACTGAAATCAGGCACAGCTGATTGATCCAGATTGCTGCGTCTGTTTTTTTCTTTCCACTGTGTACGTACAGTTCAAATTTTATTTTGAATTCTATTTTGTAAACATTGGTGAGGTAAACAGGCTGTGACGTGCTTTCTTACCTTTGCACAGCACCATTAACATCTTCACAAACAAACTTTCCATACCTTAAACTGGTTTTACAGGCTACATTTGGACTAACTACAGTCACACTGCTGCAGGAAATCTAGCCTGACCAGCTGTAGCTTTGACTGGAAGGAAAACTGTTTCTTTTTTAGATGAAACCTCTCAACTGAAATGCATTTTGGGACCAGTGGTCTTTCCTATGACACAGCCTTTACTCAAGCATAAAGATACCCAAGCATCTTTAGGCCTCAAACAGTCCAAGTGATCTACAGTTGTCCACAGACTCCACTGTACCTCCACCATGCAGGCCCCAGGACCTGAGCATGATGACTCTTTTGATTTCCTGTTCAAGATCATCCTGATCGGGGACTCAAACGTGGGGAAGACCTGCGTGGTTCAGAATTTCAAGTCAGGGATTTTCTCAGAGAGGCAGCAGAACACCATCGGGGTGGACTTCACTGTGCGGACGGTGGATATCGAGGGGAAGAAAGTTAAGGTTGGCACTGGTGTGATTGAGTGTGTTGACGGACACGCTGTAAATGCATGAATGTTGGGATGAGTGGAGCCTTTACTGTCAAAACCTGGCCTACCAGCAGGGGACTGTAGATTCAAGTCAAGGTTAGGCACTCGAAAGGGATAAAGAAGAATTTTAAGGTGTGAGAAGAGCAAACTATCGGCTTGTTCTCAGGTCCTGAAAAGCCTTAAAGCACTGAATTCAGTTTCCTAAAAGGCCTTATGAGGTATTAAGAAGTATTAAATGATAAGGCAGTAATGTCAGGTATAACCCCCCCCTAATGAAATGATCATTTTAATTAGTTCATCCATCCATTTTATGTGGCTTATCTGGGTCGAGATCCCCTCATTACACTATATTAGGAATTATTGTTGTATAACTTTGGGAAGTAGGGAAAATAATAATCCATCATGAAATTATCCATCGGCCCTGTACAACTGTGAAACAGGTGTTAAAATGCGTTCTATGCAGTATTCAAAAAGTCTTGAATTTAATAACCCTGCAGAAACCCTGATTGTGCCCCAGCTAAATGCCTCGATCCTTATCGCGGGTGTCGTAGAGCCAGCTGGCTCTGACAACGACAGGCAGCACAGCACAACACGGAGTACTGCACAGGCCTTTTATGTGAAAGATATTTAACGAAAAGTACGCCACAAATCAGGAAAACGCACCTCCTGTCCGATGTGATGGACTTTTTTTTTTTAGGTTTAGGGATAAATGACACCACAGTGAGAGGCTGTCCTTTGGCTACAGTGTCAGTTAGACTGAGTCCAAAACCAGTCGGACCAGCTGCTCACATGAAGGACCTGTCCTTCAGGTTGTTCCGCTCGTGCTTTTGTGCAGACGAAAATAAATCTGGAATGACTTTCACCGTGCTGTCATTAAGATAGAAAGGGAACTGAGTGATGTAGGTGGACAGTGATTGCTGAAGTTAGTCTGTACCCTGAGTACTTCCTCTAAAACCCTTCAAATGATCATCCATGTGCAAAGTGATTACCTGTATTGATCAAAGGGTAGACACAGCCACTGCAGCACTCTTAATACTGTGGGTAAGGGTGCCTAGAATGATCAAATTAAGTCATTGCTACATCCAAATTTCCTACCATTTTGTATGTTTCTGTTTGTATTTGTGTCACTAAGGTTTACCTGGAGATTTGTCATAGCCAGGGGGGAGGAACAGTGTGTGTCTCAACACACAAACACACCTACTCCAACTGTACTGTTCTGTTGACAAGGCAGTTAGATGACTGCAAGATAAACAGTCATGGCATGCCGTCTTACCTCAAATTCGTTAAAGATACACTCTACAAAATCATTGTATAGACTCATACAGATGTAATACCTCTCAGTCATCACTTTTGACCTACTAGAAGTGTGTGGAGGTGTGTTTATCTGCAAAGACTCTGCCTTCCGCCTGAATCTTTTTCTTTTCTTCCTTGAGTGGATTGGCAGCTGGGAAATTTAGAAACCAGGTCGACACCTTGAGCTTTTTGTCGCGTTCCACAGGCCATTTCTAAACAGTTTTTTGTAGTGTAGCATGCTATTTATTTCTGCTGGGGGGGCACTGCCACTGGGGAGTACTGTTGCCATGACTGCAACAGTGTTTGAGTGGGTGGGACATGTCAGGTGGTATCCACATGAATGCCAGAACCAAAGGTTTCCCAGCAGAACAATGCATTGGAACAAAATAATCACTTATTCACTTCACCTGTCAGTGGTTTCAGTGTTTTAGCTGATTGGTGTAAGTCTTCTGGCTAAGAGAGTGACAGGAGACATAAGCAATGCTATTTGACTGTACCTTAGGAATATGAAGGTCTTTACACTGAATACGAATACACTGAATATGTGAGAGGATTTGGATCAATTGTTCTTCAAGTGTTTTGGGAAGGGCTTCAAAAATGGAGGACCAGTCACCCAGAATGTATGAGTACTTGTACTTTTGTATCTGTTACAAGAATCGTCAACCGAGGGGTACGTCTTTGAGATTTTGACTTTAGATAGATGAAGTCTGTGTGCAAACTTGAATCGAATCAGGCCATACCTGGCACATACTGATGAGGTGTGCATTCTCAGGAATGTATCTGACCACTAGGCATTTGTAAATTGTAGGTTCAGATCAACCTGCCACGCCTCTCTCAATGCATCAAGAGATGTCTGTAAAGATGAAAGTTTCAAATACATAATGGATATTGTGCCTTTGAGAGATGGAGCTGTTGGAAATAGAATATCTAGAGGCTGCTGTTCAGGGATTGATGGAAATGAACCTGTATGTTTACGAGCCCAATCTCAAACCAGCAAATATCTGTCCTCGGTATATCAGAAACATTAGCAATGTACATATCCTTAATTGAGACAATACCCTTCTCACGCGAGAAGGATTACAAAGTTAATAAGTTTCATTATAAAAAAAGGGGGAAACTGATGATTTGCTCCAATTGGGGCATGTGATTGGTTGATTTTGTTCAGGCTAGATGGATTCTTGCAAATGCCATTAAGAGCAGCAGGAGGAGCCAGAGGAACATGATTTTTTCAGGGATTATCCATCTAATGCACTGCTCTTACGATATAGTTACAGTTTCAAAAAAGTTAGTTTTATAGAGTAACCTACTGTAGTTGTAACTATTAATGGTTAAACTGTGAGGATCCACTCCTCCCCTTCTATTCCAGAGGCATCACCAACAGTGTTTACAGGCAGGATGTCGGTAATTAATAGTCTAGAAGCATTTTATTTTCCCATTTAATTTGTTTTTATGTTCGATGAATCACAATATAAGTCAACATAAGGTTGTAAAAGTAATACAATGGAATGAAATGCTTGGTAAATTATCAGCGACTCAATCTAATACCTTTTTGTCAAAGTCAGCGAGTATCTCCTCACGGTCCGCTAGCTTTCCAACGTGTGTGTGTGTTCTGAAAAAATATTCAGTGTTCACACACAGCCCTGGCTCTGTAAATGGGAGACAAACAAAGTGTCGGACCATGCTACACAACACTATCGTGCTGTGGGGAAATCACCTGGATGTATAAAGAGAAGTGGGATTGAGAGGGATGGTAAAATGGAGCTCCTCAAGGAGCACTGATGGGAGGGGTGTAGTTCTTTAGGTGTAGAGTTCAAGTGTCAACAATCTCTCTACAGAATCTACATTTAAAGGTTCAGTATGCAATTCTAAAGAAAGACAGATAGATAGTAGACGGATGTTTTAAGGTCATCAAATGCTGACGACTTTGCATTGGTAGTCGGACTGATCCACAGACCTAAAGTTGGTGTATTTGACGACCTGGAAATGATACTCAACAATCTATCTTTTTTTTAGAACAACATACTGCACGTCCTGTTATAAACAGTCAGGGTTATTTATTTTCACAGACTATATTCAGAAATGTTCAGATGTGATTCACTATTCTGTGATTTGGTTTAAAAGCAAGCAGACATAGTTCAAACCATCAACACTGGCGCTAAAAATAGGTTGAGCAGGTGAGTTTAGATTGGTCTCCATGACAGTCATTACTATGTTAACATGGTCTGTCAGGTGCTCAGGGAGTATTCTGCAGAGACATAAAGAATCCAACACACTGTTTCCCATGAGTGAGTGTGTGTGTGTGTGTGTGTGTGTGTGTGTTTTATTGTCCATGTCAGCCATACATCCAGTCACGTGTATTTAATCAATATAGCTGTTAAAGCTGATTCCTTGTTCCCGTGTGTGTAACAGATGCAGGTGTGGGACACGGCAGGTCAGGAGAGGTTTCGCACGATCACCCAGAGCTACTATCGCAGCGCTCACGGTGCCATCATCGCCTATGACATCACGCGACACCCAACCTTTGACTCTGTGACTCACTGGATCAAAGAGGTGGAGCTCTACGGAGCGAGCAATGTAGTGCTGGTTCTTATAGGTGAGTGTGGACATGACATGTTGGATGTACTCCTTTTGGATATTTAAAGGGACAGTTCACCCCAAAATCAAAAATTCATATTTTTGCTCTTACATTTATTGTTATTAAGCAATCTAGATTGTTTTGGTGTGAGCTGACGAGTGTTGGAGATATCGGCCGTAGAGATGTCTGCCTTCTCTAGAATATAATGGAACTAGATGGCACTCAGCTTGTGGTGCTGAAAGCACCAAAAGAAATCAGGACCTGTTTACCGAACATAATCCACAGTCTGTGTTGTGAGCAGTTTCATGTAAGAACTATTTTCTTACCGAACTACACCTGCCAACTGTATCACAGTCCCTCAAGAATTGTGTGGCCTTTTTCTTTTTGGGTTTGGTGCGGCCTGAAATGCCTGATTTCACGGCAGCTTTTTGAAATATTTGCATTGGTTTTAGTCATTTTTTGCAATGAAATTGCGGGGTCAAGTGAAAATTGCAAATTTAGTTGGGTTGATGCTGTCTCAAATTCAGAGCCTAGCATATATTGCTCCAGGAGTTAGGTTTCTCTGTAGGCCGAGGCGGAAGTTAGCATGGCTCTGGTTCCCTCATCAAAACGTCAAGGATTTTCCATTGAATTTTGAGTTATTGCTGAAAATAGGCTCTGTTGCAACAAACATTTATGATACTTACACGGTTTTCAGCGAGATAATCTTCACAAATTAACACAATTTTTGACGATTATGGAAGCCTAAATGTGATCACAAGAAGTAAAAACCCAACCTTAAGCTATTAATGATCTACATTACAGTCGCATGACCAAATGCCACCACCATAACAAGACTGTAAAGCCATGTTGGGTGTGATGATGTTCTGTGGTCTTGTTTAGCCACATGTTAGCAACTGCCATTATCAAGACACTTAGAAACTTCAAAATTCAGGAGTGGGGTTTTTACTGACATATTTTATGTCGTAGTACAAAACGTGAAAGTCTCTTTAGTTTGGGTTAACCACAGACCTTATTTCAAGCATCTAACCAAAAACCCATTGACTCTGAGATGAGGAAACTGTGAGTGGGAAAATGCTAACTCATTTCAGGGTTTTAGGACTCATTCCTGACAAACTCTATCAGGAGCATTCACTGTTTAACCTCAGAATTAGAATCTATTTGTAATGATGGGTAGTAGTGGGGGTCTGCAACAGCTGAGCATAGGTGTTTGTAGCTGCTCTCCTCCTGCTCTCTCTGCCTGGTTAGCATGAGCTAACAGAGCAGCAGCTAACATCCAACTCTGAGCCATAAACGGTCTCAACAATCTTACACCATCACTGAAATGGCTCGACTTTGCCGTATAACACATAAAAACTAATGGGTAACGTTACCCATGTGATGCCTACAGTTAACCCTGTCACTGTGTGTGAGACTCTGTGCAGGGCGTGGAGCTCACTCTCCCACAGCTGTACTATTATCATCAATAGAGAGAAAGCAAGGCAAGGAGAGTCTGAGATTTTACCTGTTTCAAATAGCAGAATTTCCCATACAATTGCAAGGTCATCTGTATTTCACAGGGGTTGGCTGAATTTGTGAGAATTTGTGTGACCACAACATCCTAGAGGCACTGGTATCATCATGCAGAAGGAAGTGTGCATCTATTGCTAGCTCTTGTAGCACCACTGAGCTAGCCAACAATACAGCCAAGCCAGGGAGGACGCCATTAATATGTACATCTTTTGCTGTCACAAGCACTAGCCCCTTGTTAAGTAGATTCATGCCTCCTACTGTGCAGTGATATGCCAATACTCCCTGACTCCCACCAAAACAATCTAAATTGATAAATAGCACTTTAAGTAAGAGGAAAAACATGTACTTTTGATTTGGGAGTGAACTGTCGCATTAAAGTAGTCTTGTGTCTGCATCTTTAAGCTCCCTGACTGTCTCCATGCAGGTAACAAATGTGACCTGGAGCAGGAACGTCAGGTTCTGTTCGAGGAAGCCTGCAATCTGGCAAAGGAGAAAGACATACTAGCTGCTCTAGAAACATCTGCAAAGGTAATAAGCGGACTCAAGCATGTAAAGCACAGAGGAGCTGGTTAAAAATTGTTAGATAAAGTTGTCAATCTCCTTCTCTGCGTCTAGGAGAGTCAGAATGTAGAAGAAGCCTTCCTCATGATGGCCAAAGAGCTGCTGTCTCGTAACGGCCTCAATGTCCAGCCGGGGGACTCTGACAGCAGCAACACACCTCGAATTCTCCTTCGGTCCAACTCTCGGCCAGTTAACGGTGCGGTAGCTGCCTACACACCACCAGAGAAGAAATGTTGCTGATTCGAACGTGGATCTGACAGGGAAGAGAGTGAAGGACACTTTTTATTTGGAATGTTGGAGAAGAGGAATGGAAGAAGATCCAGAGATGCACAAGGCCTCAAGAACCAAGAATCTTTGTATGGAGGAAGTTTGGGATATTTATAGTATTGAGAAATGAATTCAGTGAAGGCCACTTGTCTGTGACTTACCTGGCCTGAGAGAACATGGGCTGTTTCTTCTCCTCCAAGTCATGTAATATTATCAGCACGAAATGCCGTTTGACTGTTACTATTCCATGTTTTTAAGTTTGCACTACCAAAAGTAATCAAATTTTGAATGTAATCACTAAAGCATCAATGTGGGGGTTAATAGCCACGAAATCTAAGCATTCTAAATATCCTGAAAACCTGCTGGCCTCAGCATACCTGCCAACCTTGAGACAAAACCGAAGTAGGGGATTGGGGATCCTCCAACAAAAAAAAATCTGCTGACTCAAAGAACAAAAATAAGTACACTGCAACAGCATTTTTATGTTAAATACTTTTAATTGTACTTTCAATTCTCAGGAAAGATACAGAATAATTGCCCCTCTGCTGTGAGTCTCTGGCACAAACGCGGCAACACAACTGTTGAACTGTATGATCATGTGCTTGATAGAAAAAGCATTGCAGTAAATGGGAATTCTTCTGTCCTGGATGTCTGAAATTCCTTGAGTATTAACACTCTCCATTTCTCTCTCCATCTCTCATGCGTATGCCAGGAAACAACATTTGGTGTAGGTGTATTGTTGTCTGAGTGGACAGAGTAGACTTTTAGAGTCCTAGGCAGTGGTGTAGTGGTAGTTGATGAGGTGGGTGTACCTGTTGGTAGATGGGTCGGTTACCAAGGAGGAAATGGGTATACTCTCCTCTATATTTCAATGGCTTTTTGGCTGATAGAAAGGTGTACTGTTAATGGCAAGAAACCTGCGTATACCCTCCACTACACCACTGGTCCTCAAGCTTATACACACTGTACAGTGGCAGAAACATGAAAAAGGACAAAAAAGTGTGAAAATGTCTCATAAATCGGGAGAAATATGGGAAAATCTTGACCCTTGGAGGTAAAGGGGAGAGGGCAAGGAAAAACGTGAGTCTCCCGGTTAAATCAGGAGGGTTGGCAAGTATGGGTTCAGCCCATTATCCTGAACACAACAACATTCTTTGTGTTGTATTTTGTCTTCATGCTTCCCCCTGCTGGTTAAACTTCTGAAATTCTGCGAATGACATTAGATGTTATTGTAGTACATCAGACTCTGAGTATTTCACCCAGTGACCTCCATATTGTGGTGCCACTATGACGAGCTGTGATCCTCTGCTGCTGCACTCTGGATGAAATCATCCTGGAGAACCTGCTGCAAGCCAAAAGACTGTGAATTATAAATAAATACTTGCAGGACTACACTATCAAAGTTGTCCATGTGAGTGTGTTATGTCATCCTGTGGACTACTTCAATGTGAACACTAGAGGGCACTGTGCTGTTACACATCGCCTAAAGCTGCAGGTTGGCTACTCTTTGCCTCAGACAATAAATACCAAGGTGATTTAAAACATATGTGACTGCGCTAAGAAACAATTAACTACGTTTACATGCAACCCAGTAAACAGGAAAAATCACCTTTAAGGACGACTTTTGCCAAAATCACTTCCTGCCAACGCAACAGTCAAGCTGAAGTGAATGAACTGACGAGGCTCACATCCAGGGTATAAGCTGTCTAATGCCAAGTTGGCAGACCTTATTCAAACACCAATCTGGAAGTCATGTAGCAGGACTTGCACTGATTGTTAGTTTCTTACACTGATGCAGTTAATCTGCCTTAATGTTCACTGATTAAGTTACAAGTGGAACAGCTGTGGAAACAATCCAGGTGTGGACTTGTCCTGTAATCCAAAATAAAAAAAAATCTGCTCCATATGACAAGCAATACATGATCAATCTATCACTATAAAATCATCTTAATCATCCTCAGTGACCTACTTATTTTAGTGACAAAAAGTTCTGCTAAAATGTAATCTGGTCTGTGTTTTATACCTTCACTGACACTGATTAATTATCCTGTTTTTAACTGACATTAAGGCCCAAAATATGACCATAGCATGGAATGAGAATCTGCATGATAAGATTTCAAGTTTCAAAAAGAAGGAGGTTGGCTGTTGTGTGTTCAGCACACTTGGTGGCATTAGCTGACAATCAGTGAAGACTGCTTCCTGCCATGGGCTTCCAAAAAAATTAAACCACATTAATAGACATCAGTTTTGTGGGTGTGTGTATTACCTTGTGTTTGCTGAAAAGTAACATGTGGGCATTTTCTGGAGAAGGCTAAGTTACTTGATTTGGTGTCAAAATGCATCATTGTCACATTTAAGCTCTGTTATCAGGCCATTTTTAGAATTTAGCACGTTTAGCGATAATTATTAGTCATGCTTAGGGCTAGGCATTGGTAGGCCTTCCTCTGAAATAACCCAGTACCAAGCAGTATCAAAATGTCTTGAATCAAACAATTTCTGCATTTGATACTTTTTGCACCGGGATCTGATCCTCTCCCAGCCAGGTCAGTTCAGCGTCAGCCCTGTTAGCATTAGCTAACAGTACAGCAGCAGCTAACTATGACACTGACCTATTTAACGGTCCCAACAAAGTCACACCAACACCAAAACAGTTTGACTCAATTGTTAAACCATTAATAACCGTTAGGTAGCATTAGGGGCTGTACACATGCCGCGTCTTTAACCACCTGGAAAACGCGAGGTCGGGCACTGGGTGTAACTTTTGTGCCTTTTTTGCATTCAAGAGTGCAGCGCCAGGGTGCTGAGGTTGCTAAGCAACTTTAACAAGTGCTGTATCAAAGCCTATTTACCTGAAATCCTTAGTGCTGAGTCGATCTTCTTCCAGGTGCTGTTTATAAGTGTATGGGCCTATCGACCGTGGGACAGATGAAAAGCTTTGGCAGCCCTGCACTAAAATGATAAACTTTTCCATATTTACCACAGACTGATATTTACAGAAGAACGGAAAGATATCTGTCAGTTGCGATTGGCTGTTCCTCATCACATGCAGTGTACATTGCTGTGTTCCAAAAGGTGAACTCGGTTTATCTCAGAGCGCAGCGGTCGCGGCCTGAAAAATGTTCACTTGGGAACGCATGTGTGCCCTGGCATTTGAGCGTGCCTGCCGTGCGTCTGCATTAAAAACAATGAATTTGAGGGCGCAGAAAATGCAGCATGTGTGGGGCTCCTTAGCCATTCACTGCAAAAAGTTAGTCCTGTCACTGTGTCTTTGTGGCTGGTGGGACTCTAAACAACTGTCCCCAGTGCAGAGCTCACACTCCTGCAGCAGCAAGTCTGTAGTGTGGTGAAGTTAAGCACAGTGTATTTGACGGAGCTGGGGTTCAGTGTGCTGAGGTGCCATTAAATGTTTGAAATTATGGCTAAACAACCATTCATATAATAGGTATCAAATGAAGTACTCTATTGGTATCAGGATCATTTTAAGGGTCCTGGTATCGTAATTTTTTTAAAAGATACCCAGCCCAGGTCATGATGCACTTGGTTGATCCCCAGTGTATCTGGAAACTTACATGACCTCATCAAAACATTACTGTATGATCCAGCACATCTGCTTCCTGTCATATTTGATTCAGTATGTCGACCTACATTTTTTGCTCCCCGTCATGTCTGTCCAAACGAATTCTCAGAAAAAATAAACCCAATTTTATTTCCAGAAAACAGATAGACAATGTCATACATTAACTCATACAAAAAAGACCACAAACTACTTTTTTGAAAGGAAAAAAAAGTATATCCTGAACTCAATCAAAATGACTGTAAAGGAAATAAGAGAGCACCTGCAGTTCATTGTGTGGCAAATTCAAAGAGACGTTTTTTGTTGTTGGGGTTATTAGATCTGATACGGACTGGACTGGGAATGCTCTGTAGAAAAGATAAAACAAAAGCTCACATGGCAAATCCTAAACTTTAGTTTAAAGGTAAACTTAGCAATATAACATTAAGAAAATGTTAATGTCCTAAAATTAGCTTTTTGTTTGATCACTAAAAGGGCAATGGATCTTTTTTCCCCAAATTGTACTTTTACACATCAGCTTTTATTTAAACATCAGATCACTGAGTCTACTGTTATGAATCCATTCTTCAGCCTGTCCACAGACCTCCATTTTAATCCAACACTCCTTTGACCTCCACACTAAACCACACCTGTCCACCGATCCACCACCTTTCTAACTCAGCCTGATGATCTCAAACTTGTTGGGCTTCTTTTTCTCTTTCAGGTGCTGCGGTAGACGCCCACCCTGCCCAACAACCGTCTCCCCCATCACCTCTTGTGCCTCATTTTCTGTCCCCCCTTGTCCTCCCTGTCCCGTATCCATTCCTCCAGTTTGTTTATCCTTGGGACATTCCCCGTTGTAGGTCTTGACGTAATCCTCAACGCGCCAGCCCATGAACTCCTGTGGCTCGGAGCAGATCAGGCCAGTGTAGTAGACGCCGGGGTGGTGCTTGAGCCAATAGATCAGGTAGTGAATGTTGTAGTCGCAGATCCAGGGGTTGTTCTCCAGCGAGAGCTTCCGTAGGAAGTAGAGGTCCTCTAGTACACCATACTGGAAGTAGTGGAGACTGTTGTTGGACAGGTCGAGCTCACGGAGGTACAGCAGGCCTGCGAATGCAGCTGGGAGGAAGAGAAAGGTAGAACAAGATAAGTTAGCATCTTTTACTGCTGGCTGAACGCTAAAAGGGCCACCCTGTCTCCCTGGATGCTTCCTGTTTGTTAATTTCCACGTACTGCAGTCACAAAACATGATTCACTTATAATAGTGTTGCAACCACAATATTTTAAGCTCTTTTTTGGTCTCCACACACTCCTCAGGGAAATATGACTCTTAAGCTGCTAAATGCTTCACTTTCTTTACAAGCTAGTTGCTAACTTTGCTGCTGAAACGGCTGTCCACTGCGTCAGGGAACTGCGCTGATGAGAGCTGCAAGAGTGAATTGAAACAGTAAAGCTGCATACCGTAAAGCAGAGTTCAAGCTGTTCTCATACACTGTTCGTACATGTACCTATGAAAAATAATGCACCAGAATTCATGTACAATCCACGTAATTGGGAAGGCTGCAATCACATAATAGTTTGGGGTGTTGGATTGGCCAAACAAGCACACGACTTTCCCCCAGGAGATAGTGTATGTGTCCTGTGAAACCAAGTGAGCTTTGAGTTATTCTAAGACACACCTTCACCATGTTTCTTTTTCTCAACCTAACCTACGTAACTAAACAAAATCCAAGTAACTTTACATTGAGGACATAACTTTACCTCACGTACATAACGTAACAAAGCCATTCTTTGGGCGCTAATTTGTGAGATTTCATATGAACCGCTGTATGAGAATACGTTGAAAAGTTAGAGGATTTTCTGTGTTTCATTACACAAAGCCATTTGATGAATTGTTAATGAAATCAATATTGATTAGTGCAGCTTTAAGCGTCTTGTCTGGTGTCCATTTTTGGAATAATGCACTTTAAGTTTAAGTTACATTTTAATGGAACATGTAACTCCAGTAGTTGCTGTCCAATGAAAAGTTGGGGAAAATGGGTATGTCCAAAATGTAAACTTTTAAGAAATAAAAAAAAAAGGCAAAGTCATAAAATGTGTACTTCCCTATCCATAAAAATAGTAAAAAAATAAGGGAGAACATGACATCAGCAGCAGGGGACCAACATGGTCATGGCATGTGTTTGCACTGAAAATTAACCAAAACATTTGTTGTCTAAATTATGTTTAATGACACACTTGCTGTACTTTAGATTCCAGGGCACATGACAGTTTCATGTGTTAACAGCGGATTTAACAGGTGGACTGACTTTGAGCTGGGAAGAGCTAAAGAGTTAAAAAGGTGACTGTTGATGTCCTTAAAAGGTTCCAGACACTGTTATCAGTCTGTGTAATGGGACAGTCAAGACTGTTTCACGCTGTCCACCAGCCTTGGGCCTAGCTTTGATCTTAACAGAGCGGAAGAGAAGAGGGGGAGAATGAGAGGAGGAGAAAGAAGAAGAGAGAAAGGAGAGTGTGTAGAACATATAAAAGGTAGAAAAATATATCGAGGATAAAGACATCACTGAGACAGAGACACAAAGGTTAAAAAAAAGGACCCTGGGGACTATAATCCTCCTGAAATCCATTTTCAATCATCATAAAGATAATTTACTGCAATCTCATCATTCAACCATAAAGATGACACAGATAGAGGGAGCTTTAGGAGAGGAAGGAGAGGAACAGAGGGATGAGGGAGGCCCCTGTTATCTCTCGACTCATGACTCTCCCAAATGGGCTATTGATCATTTGCTTTTTTTGAGCCACTAAGGCTACAGGAAGCCAGGTGTGGTCTACTTCCATGGTATTTTCCCAGGCACTGAAATAAAGCAGTATTTTCTGTGAAGTATATTCAGTTTGTGCGTGTCATCAGAGTTTTCACAGGAAGCGTATTATTCAGTCTTTGGACTGTGTGTCCTAAAATTGGCATGAGAAAATACCTGTTCATATTCCTGCCAATTTTAGGTATTTGTTCCCCCCTGGGACGCCTTTCTTTCCAGCTAAATATTAAGAAATGCCAGCTGGGAGTTCTACAGCGCTTTGGAGGTGCAGCATTTTTCAGCTGAGACATCTTGGTTTGATTTCTATAACACACAGTACCTCCAGAAGTAAAAAATGTTGGAACAAGAGGCAGTATTATCTCTGGCCCTTGCTCTGGATAAAGAGATGGCCGAAGCACGTGGGGAGGTGACTGACCCACCAGTCTATGTGGGTTCATGAGATTTAATATATTACAATGTATAAGTTATATTAACATATTTCTCCCTTGTTGTTGTTCAGCACTTGTACATGTAAGATGTGATGGTTGGTCTTTGTGGTGTTTGTCCGGCCCCTCTTCCACTGTGATTAAACTTCTGGGTAAAAAGTAACAGTGACGAATGCCTCAGCGCCTTGTCATGCTGCTGCCATTTGGAGCATAGCGTTAACATGTGGCGCTCTGCTCCCATTGCAAAGAATTAAAAACATACGCTGGCCTCAGGAAAAAATGCCTCTGTGTGTATTTAGTAATAAACTACCATTGATGGTCATGGGTTGTGACAGTTAAAATTGTAAAATGTACCCAATGACTGTATATGAAAGATGGACAAAGCATCTTCACTTCCTCTCACTTCTTTCACCTCTCCACAAAAATCAAGCCAAAATATCCCGAATACGGCCGCTGCCATCTTGCACTGGTGACATCGGGTTTGTTCCAAATCACATATGTACTGTTGCATGCAGTATGCACACAATCCGGACATACTACTTTGTCATAATATTACACCCACAATGGGAGTATGGTATTGGAACACACAGATGATGTGGAGCCAGAGTCTGCACAGTAGCGATCTCTGTGGTATCAAGGTCCCATCCCTACACCCCCAACCAATCTTGGGCAGTGCCATTGATCACGAGCACAGTGACTAGCTCACACAGCTGTCAATCATGATGGCCAACCCCCTTTTTATAGCATCAAATAGCTAATAAAACCCAAACTTATCAGAAAAATGGATCCTGGAGCACGCATTAAGAACTACCTAAAATGATCTTTTACTTTCGCCCATGTCCTATCCACTAACATAGAGAGGGCGGGGTTTATGACCTATACTGCAGCCAGCCACCAAGCAACAATCAAGATGTTTTTGCTTCAGTTTTCAGGAGCTGTCATGTCGTCAATCTTTAGATACAGTCTAGGCATGTACCTTTATACCTTTATGACCTTACTGTGTTGCCTAGATACAAGGGACACGACATCATCGGACAGTGCCTCATGTTGTTGAGTAGCTGGGCGGCTGCCTTGCTAAAAATGGATGTCTATTGCTGAGCTCCTGTTTTGTTTTGCCTCTCTACTCAAGTGTGACTTTTAATATCCTTTGGATTTTATTTTGTTCATGTATGATAAGATAGTAGCCACACATTGTGGAGACTCCAGTGTCAGAATTGCTGAGCGACCTCAACCAAGAAACACAGACCCAGGGAGTAAGTCCACTGGCCATGAGAGAAACTATTCCTTTAATGACCATACTTCCCTGCTTAGTGTGACATGTCAGTTCCACCCTGATGACTCTTTCCATCTGTTCTTTGTTTCAAACCGTCCTTATCTCACTATCCTTTGAGACAAGTCAACTTTTTGTCACAGAAAAAAAGGTATGTTCTACATAACATTCTTATCTCCAAGTATTTTAATCAGCACTCCCACCAGGCTCACAGATCCATATGCCATAACACCCACCGAGGGTAATGCTTTAAACCCTGTCATCGATTTTTCCAGCTTCAACGCACACGCATTAACGTTTTTTTGAGCTACGAACGAAGCAGGCAAAAAGGCATGAAAAAGCAACTCTCGTCCGAATTCAGCAGAGGTGATAAATTAGGGATTTGCACCCCAGGCTTGCAACGCTCTGGGCTGATGCTGGCAACGAGTCTCCATAACAAATAAACACAATTTCAAAGTCTCTGGTCGCCATAGCTCCAGATATCACTGTTGCACAAGTCCCACTATTACATATTTGTCTGCTGCTGCATTGTTTTTTCAATTACAGAAACACAAAAGAGATGCAGGCAGGAAGGATCTTCAACAGGAACTTGGAGAGTATTAAGACTATTTTTTAGGAGTTTGAAGCTCCAGATGGGTGGAAATGAATTGTGACAATTCCTAAAATGTCAAGTTATTAGTCATAGGGAAAGTGTGTTAAATTGACCTTCACATATACTGTACTCTTCTGTGACTGTCTAAATGATTGGTTTTTTTTCTATTTTTGGGGTTTGTCCTGCAAGGAAAAACCACAGCAATCTGGCGCAAACATCTGCCAAACCCAACACTGAAAGACGCAATAATTGTGCATTTATTAGTAATAACTCCAGTGTGCCAGAGCCTTTTGTTTATGCTTTTCAATTGGAGGGTGACCAGCAGGGGAAAGAAACATGAATGAAAAGGCAAGACAAACAACCTCTTGCAAATGTTTTTGGGTTTTATTTTTCTCTCAATGTGTACGTGATTAGAAGGAGCAACTATGATTGAGACCATATGTCACTCACTGGCTATCACAAGCGCTCAGAGTTACGCAGTATTTCTTGTGCAGTTTCCAAGTGGTCTTGGACACACTGGGGCGGGCTGCACTAGATTGTTTACATGTGTCGCAGGGTAATGAAGAAATCTACAAGGTTTTGTAAAGGATTTCCCTCCTGGGCAGGAAGACACAAGCCCAGACATCATTAACATGGAGTGAGTAATGAGTCTGCACTTTTTTAATGGCGCTATAGTGCTGAGGCAGAGTTACTATTCAGAGCAGATATTCTGCTTCAGTAAAATCGATCTTTTGAACAATAAATTGTTTTGTGTTTCCCTGACGAATTCTGCTGAACTTTCCCTTGATCCCTGTTCAGTTTTGAGAGCCGTACATTTGGTTATGTGCGTTGTTAAAGGGACGGTTCACCCCACATTCAGAAAGACATTTTTTCCCTCTAACTTGTCAGACTATTTATCAATCTAGATGGTTTTGATTTGATTTCACGTTATAGGCCGAATCACTGCAACGTTGTGCTATCAACAACAACCGCCTCTGGGTAGGCAAGTGATTTTAATCACAGCGATATGTGACATCAGCAAACGTGTTATAATTTTTAGCCATTATCATAAATAAAAAGAGGCTAAGCAATGTACTGCTATGGAGGATATTTTAGCGAACTAAAAACAAATCTATCATTTTAAGTGTATGTTATATTTGGAATATTTTCACTGCTTTACCTGACATTACACACTAACCGATGGAGGCAGTGGTAGACCAGCAACTCCCCTGATCTGCAAAGCAAAATTACTGTTTTTGTCAATGGAGTCTGGTGGCTTCCAGATAACAGCTTCAGTTCTACGTCAGAAAAGGCTGACTGACGGCAAGGTAAAGTGGTTAAATATTCTTAATATAATGTACACTTGACTTGAGTCCATGGATATCAACTGTTTTAAATAAATACAAGAATTCAAAACAACATTTAGGAAAACAACAGAACCATACTACAAATCACATCAGGCGTTACGAATAATGGATGAAGTGCAACAAATGAATCATTCCCCACTTACATTCAAAGTTCGACTGGTGCACTGAGGCTACTTAGAGGCTGTACTCTGATTTAAGTTGAGGAATAAATGGGTTCCTCAACCTGTTCAAGCCTGTGGGACTCTTAAGGCCAAAACACACAGGCGGCATACGACACGCGTCAAAACAGCTGCCCCCATTATTTTCTATGTACAAACCCATACCGGTGGCAGCTCGACGTGCGTCGATGTGCCGCACCGCGGCACTTTACCCTATTGTCCTATTTTTCCAGCGTCGCCGCCCTTGAAAAAGCTCTATTTTGTACATCCCAGCCTAGCAGACTGGAGTGTGAAATCCAGTTGATGCCCAGCAGCGTGACGCTTTTTGTGTGTGTTGGGGGCGGCACTTGACTCGCATCAATGACGCCGCTGTCATATGACGCCGCCGTCATATGACGCCGCTGGTGTGTTTTAGCCTTAAATCTTCTCTATGATGGAAAAAGTTGAAATTCTTCAAACGAAATGCGAGAGGTGTCCGAGCAACACATTCTCATCCCAACTCATCAAATCTTTCTGCTCGGTCAGTGGTACTTTCACGTCTACATATGATGCGCAAGGTGTCGTCCTGCATCTGTTGTTGACATTCCAGGATGCTGTGTAAATTTACATTTGGTACATGCATTGTCCATCCATCCATCCATTTTCATCCGCTTATCTGGGGCCGTGTTGTGGGGGCAGCAGGCCGAGCAAAGCACCCCAGACATCCCTCTCCCCGGCAACACTTTCCAGCTCCTCCCAGAGTAGAAATGTAATCCCTCCAGTGTGTTCTGAGTCTGCCCCGGGGCCTCCTACCAGTGGGACATGCCCAGGACACCTCCTGCCCAAGAGGCATCCTGGTCAGATGCATGAAATGCATTGTGTCTTCTCAAAATATGCTTCTGTTTTCACAGGAAATGTACAGTTTCTACGCGTTAGATGCGTATAGTCTTTTTCAAAATGAACTCACAACTTTGGTAAAACACCTCGAATTGACAGCTGTTCCCTTGTGCAACAAAAACATGGTGGTTCGGTTCAGGGAACAAAAGCATGTGATTAAGTTTAGAAAAAGACATCATGGTTTGGCTCAACATTCACACAGAAAGTGAACCACGGCCTCACTTCCTGTCCTTGTTGCTGTTTGTTGGACTCATCCACCTTCACTGGTGGCGTTACAAACCGATTAACCCTTTGTAGCGATATGATACACTGCCAGGTGGTGTACCATAAATAGTCTCCCCTGACCAGCCTCCCTTACTTCAGAATAGGAGTTTGGGGACATTCGTCTTTCGTTTTGTAATAGAAATGGGCCGGGATATCCAGACCACATGACGGCATTGCCATAGGTACGGCACCGGAAGAGCAATTCTGGTGTAGACGGGTGTAAGGCAAAGCTAATCAGCTGTTGGTCGAGGAAGTACGGAAGTATACGGATTTGGATCCAATCACATCACTGCCGCTGGGAGCCAGCGCTAGTTCTATTACAACTTTCCTATGGGAATGTCCACAGACGACAGAGTCAGCCAGCGTGCTGACGTCATCGCTGTCTGTGTAAGAGACTATACCATAAACTGATGGCACATGGCAGCGTATCATCCCTTCACGAGAGGTTCCTTTTTGTGGTGGTGTCTGAAGCCGAGATCATTGACGAAGCGACAGTATTTGATGAGTTCGGGATGAGAACAGGCTACAGCAATGTGTTGAGTTTTTCAAAAGTTGTTTTTTTCTCCTGTTTGGCGCTTTGAGCATCAGCAGAGTGCAATCTAAATCCATTACATTTGAGAGAAGGCCGACATTTGTACAGCTGATATTTCCAATATCCCTTTAAATGGGCCATTTTTGTTGATGCTAGTATTTTCAATGCACATTTTTCTGAGTTAATTTGCAGTTTAACCCAGTGGTTCCCAACCCCTTTGGCTAGTGACGAAGATTGATTGATTGATTGATTGATTGGTTTATTTAAGTGTCATGCACGTTAAAGTGCCCAGCCCACATGGACTTACAAGACACTACACAGTATATGTACAAACAATTCAAAGATGGCAAAAACAAGAATCTTATGTATCCATCGTCATCGAAAAAACAAAAAAGGCAAAGTATTGTACTCTTATGTAGGATACAGTGTTTTCTGTCTTAATGTCCATGCTTTTTCAATAAATCTAGCTAAGACATAGATCTCTTCCTTGAAGAACCAACTCAACATATCAAATTCAGACATCCAAAATAAGTTGGGATTCTTCCCCTGAAGAGTTGGGATTCTTCCCCTGAAGAGTTGGGATCCCCCCCCCCATCACCAGGCATAACAAGATGTGAGTGGTTCAAGAACTAGTCTGTAAAGCCTGTTATATGACTTTAATGAACACCTGTCAGACAATCAGAGACAAGACTCTGTGGCCTGAGTTACCTGTATCTATATGTTGCAGGTTGTTGCCACTAAGGTTGAGCAGCTTGAGGTCTTTGGACAGCAGGAACTGTTTGGGCCTGAGATGTTTGATGGTGTTACTGGACAGATCCATCTTGACTATGTCAGACGGCAGGTCTGACGGGATGTTATTCAAATCTGCAAAGAAGGACAGACAAAGAAACATGAGTTACAAAGGTGAAAGGAGCTGGAGTGGGATTTTTTTGCAAGATTTTAAATAGTGAGAATAATTCACAGCAAGTATTTACATAAACTTTAATGCAACAAATAAGCATTCATTCCTGCTGATGGTTCGCAGGATGGACGCAGATGTGCGCAACAATCATGACACAGAGTGCAAAGCTCCAGAATCAGCAGGAGAGCTGGAAATCCAATCTGTCTGCATCCTTATACATTTTCAAGATGTCGTGTGGGTTGTGTGCAACATTTAACCTTTTCAAGATGGAGTCCAGTGTGACAGCATGTATAACAATATTTCACTTCTGTGCCAGGGGTGGTGGGGGAATGTTTCCACTCTCTTCCAGTGTTTCCAGCCTCACACACACATCTCCCACCAGTAAGAGAGTAAGTCTTTGAAGACTCTAATGTACGAAACAGGGATTCCCACATATTCCCATTTCGATAACAGATCCTCTCTGGAGTTTTAAATCAAAAGTCCCAGTTCATAGTCCAAGTCCAATCAAAAGTCCAAGTTCGTAAATGCTTTATCATCCCTGCAGTGTTGGGCCTGTTAGAATACAAGTCTGTCACTGTCAACACAGTTTGTCCCAAGCTAGAGCTGAAGCTTGAATCTAGATTCTTTGGAGCTTCTCCTCAGACAATAAGCAGATCCAGATTCATGTTCAAACCCGTGTTGCACAAGTTCTACTTTTGGCAGTCAGGAAAAGTCTTTTGAAGTTACGAAAATAGGCATCTTAATGGATTTTGAATTGCTTTTGTGGTTCCCACAACCATTAGACTTGTTTCACCTGTCAGTGTCTGTGAAAACACAAAAATCGCCTGAATTAGAGGTCACATCTGCCGCGCCGATCAGCCTGCAGCTCTGTTTAAAACTGAGCAGACGGCCTGTGCAACCTGTGTCATCAAAATGAGTGTGGGTGATTGTTTTCGAAATTTGCAGAGAGATTGCAGATGATCAGATACATGAGTATGTTTAAGCAGCGGATGCCGAGAAGATATAATCAATCTATGTTTATTTTGGTGTTAAATCACTGCCTTATTTTGTAGATTTAAAAAAAAAAGAGGTTGTGTACAATATGTGTGTGGCTGAGCATTCATGTGTACATGCATTTGGATGGGTTTCCTGCACGTATTTATTTACACGGGCTGTATGATTTGCTCGGAAGACTGCTTATGGACACTTTTATAGAGCAGATGTTGCAGTCTTTATGCGCACGCTTTACTGCCACAGATTTTGTTGTCATGGAGGCACTGTGCCATCAATCATCACTGACAGAGAGAAAATACAATCACACGTACACACAGGACACACGTATACAGCATGCACACAGATGTAGGCAATGCACTAAGGAAATGTTATTATTATTGTTCAGTGATGTGATGCAGTGGCGGCTGACGAGCGTGCAGCAGGCATTTGCAAAGGCAGGCCCAGACTTTGGAGAAGCGATTAGTCCTGTGCTGTGAGAACTTGTAGTCTAAAGGGAATCCCTCCTTGCCTCAGGTGTACATGTGTCTGCAAGTTTGTCCAAGATTAGAAAAAGTTGGAAAACTGCTGGCACTCTTACATCAGACTCAAATTCCCAGGCTCCCTGGTGAGAAATCAACCTTCTGAGCCAAAAAACAGGTCTTCTCCGTCCAAAAGAGATACATCTGTGGTCTTGTGTGTTTCACAGTGAACGAGGATAATCTCCTACGCTCCGTATTCGGCGGTGACAAAAGGCTGTGACCAGAAGGACCTATTTCTCAAAGCTAAACCAAAGATGGAGAGATTATCTCGATTTGTAATGTTGTGTTACCCCTCGCTCTTTAAGCATCGCTTCCTGGAGCTTAATGTGTTCTCAGGAAGTCTGACATTTTATCAGGGGCCTTGAGGTTATCTGGAGATTTTTAATTGAGCAAATATTTCAGATAAAGTGTCAGGCTCTTTACCATCTGTGCCTCCTCTGAGCGGGCCGCTGAGTGAATAGAATAAACACACAGAGAGAAGGAGAAAGAGAAAGAACATGTCAGGAGAAGTGAAAGTCATTCATTCATAACTGGGTTTGGACTGGGTTTTTTACTGAACCTGCTCAAGTCATTATGTCATATTTGCACATGTGAACATCTGTCCCTCTTGGACTTTTAATGTCAAAAAAAGAAGTGCTTTGTGCTTTGCTACCTGAGAAACTCTCCATGTGTTTCGTCTGATAGCACCTCCGCTATAAATAAAGTTTGGACCAGTTGAGTGATGACATCATTTATTCTATGGCGAGCCAACTATAGCACCTGCGCTATGTCAAAGTGCCAGCTTTGAATTACTTTATGCAGCAATTTAGTGGGTCATTTGCTAAAATATCCTACGGAGGTTGTTAGTTATGCAGGCCGTGCATTAGTATAACACAGGGATTAGGTAAATGTTTAGTAAATGTTCAGGAGTATTTACATAGTTTAAAATAGATAGAGCTAAACTTTTTCCACAATTTAGCAGAGGTGCAGAACATTAATCTGGGCATATCCTCCTCCAGAGGGCATTGGTCAGCACTATTAATGAATTATATGTACGCATAGTAGTTTCTCCATATTTTCTTCACCATATATTCTATAAAACTTTGCAAAGGGTGTTTTAAAAAAAGCTACATTTGCAGGATATATTTCCTCTGTGCACTGATTCTGATTGAGCAAGCGGTGCAATATGCTTCATACTGTTTAGACAGGAGAAAGGGAAGCAGTTATTTTTTTACAGTGCTGACATGATTACTCTGGGGTCAGCTGCGCGTAGTGCAGTGAACGTCTGTGGTTTGGACGCTCGCTCCAGGCTTGACTGGGGAAATGATTTCTCAACGTGTTTTAACAGTTTGGGCCTTGTGCTGCGTGGTAGCAGCGAAAAGGTTCATATTTAATACATTACCTTTTATAACGTTTAACATTTTTTTCATGTGAGGTCACTTTCACCTCAGGCATTAAATGACCGGCTAATGGCAGCAGAGGAAATATACACAGTACAGTTATTTGTCTAACATGAGGATATACGCCTTATGAAAAGAGGCAAGAACACTACTTTGTATCCAGGCTGAAGCAAAGATCTGAACCGAGTTGGGATCTTTTCCAACATTAACATTTCACACGACAGGTGCAATAACCTGTCAGCGTCCCCTATACTGACTTTCACACTTTGGATTTTGCATGCTGTTATATTTGGGCTCTATGTAATGGGCCTATACTTAACTCTCTCTCAGTATTCAGACCAAACATATGGAGAGATAGTTGAAGCCTTTTCTAAACATGCTGACAACTCTGTTTATACGATATCACTATTACAACAGCCAGATAAGTGCTAGCAGTCATATCCTCCCTTCCAGTGATAATCTTGAGGATTTAAGTCAGCCTACATGCCGTAACTCAGAGTAGAGCAGAATCGGTTTTCATATTTCTTTCCAAACCATTGTGTCCTTCAGCTACTTTTCTCCAGTGTTAAATGTCAAAACCTGCTGCCTACATTACCCACAATGCAACATAACTGCTGACAGTTTGCTCAGTGATTCAGGTGCGTTCAAACAGTAGCAACTAATGTAGCTGTGAGCCACTAGCCTCAAACTGGTGGCCAAACTGGCCCGTCACAAAATGTCACCGGGCTCGAAATTTTTTTCCCATTGACTTACATTGTGAAAGGGACGTTTGTAAATCAATGGAAACATTTTTTTCTGAGCTCTACAACCCCCCAAAAATGCCTCTTTTCGCTAACAGGATTTGTTCCCTTTGGTCCAAAGACATTTCATAAATCTAGAGGAGCCACTGGATTAAATAATTTTATCCCCATTCAAGTTATTAATTAATTCATTCATTATAAACAACTGCTTATCCTGTTAAGGGTTGTGGGGGTGTAGGAGCCTGTCCCAGCTGAAACTGGGCGAGAAGCGGGGTACATCCTGGACAAATCACCAGACACATAGAGACAGACAACCATTCAAGCTCACATTGACACCTATGGGCAATTTGGAGTCCCCAGTTAGCCTAACGTGCATGCCTTTGGACTGTGGGAGCCAGAGAACCCAAAGAAAACCCACACTAGAGGAGCCCCAGCTGGCCGACAGTGCTAACCACTGCACCAACGTACTTCCAGCGCCCCCCAGTCAAGTTAGTGGAGGGCTTAACTGGAAGTTAGCTGCACAGTCGGCAATGCCTATAGTGTGCTTTCTCTCTGGGCCCAGCAATGCGAAAGATCTGGGTAATTTTATACCCGGGGACAGTCAAACTGTTTTGGCTTCATGCGCCACTGAGCAACTTTCATGGGAATGTTGATCCAGCACTGTATCTAATTCTCTTCATACATTAATGCAAGCTATGAACACCGGTAAGATCACTTCACAAACTAAACTCTGCACCCCCAGATGTGATCATTTTCAAATGTATAGTCTTCAGAGCCATCCAACATCAGTTGAGGAAATTTATCAGACTTTAATCATCTCCCTCTAAAGCCATAAAAGGCTTTACACCAGTGGTTCTCAACTGGTCCAGTCTCAGGGTCCAGATGTCTACTTAGTCATTCGTTCAAGGTCCACACAATTTAGTACATTCAGTGTCATACTTGCATTTGGCCATATCACCAAGCAAGTTAGTTGTCTCTGTCAAGTACCTGTCTGTGAATCACGCACTCTAAAGCAGGAAACAGCAAAATAAATAAAAGCTCTGTGTCAGAAATTTGCTGTACTTAAAAATAAAGTGTGTTTTACAAACTTGACATGTTTGTTAGTCACTGGCAGTCCCAGGACTGCAACCCACCGGTTGAGAACCACTGCTTTATACCAATACCTTTTTTACCTATGCAGTGGCCTAGAACTCCACAAGACCTTTAAGCAGACTTTAATGTGAGTAATCAGTTGGCTGTACAGTACATGACATCTTTGTTAATAGCGTTACAAAAAGAAAACCTTTTGCCTGAAACTCATGATTAATACATCCAGAGTCTGTCATGCCCAAGA